TGTTGGAACCCTGGATAAAAAAGCAATAGTAATGAACAGGCCAATAGCTTCCCAGACTCCCCTTGAATCTCAGTATCTGTCATTGAGAAGAGAATGGGATGAGAAGCAAAATAACTCTGTGTTTTCTCCAGTAATTTTTGCTTGTTGTTTTACGTAGTCTACCCTGAGCATAGATTGAAATAGAGAAGGAGAAGAGGTTTGGATTTGGGTTTGGTTCCCCCCTCCTCCCCTGCCCACTGCTAATCACATTCCCTTCCTACCTTAAGTAAGGTCACTGCCTAATATTTTCGAATGTTTGAAGTGTTCCTTTGGTCTTGGCAGAATAAGATATTATTTGATATTTTCACTCACCTTTTCCAAAGAGGAGACAAGCACAAGGTAGTGTGAAAAGTCAGCTGAAGTGATTGGCATTAAAAGACAAAAGCTGCTGAAATGTGAGAGTGATCTTTGCACTGTATATTAAAAATCAAAGATTTTAAAAGACTGTTTATGTGAAAATTAATAACCTGATTTTGTTGACAGTTGAAGTCTTCAGCTGTTACCATAGTTTGTTTTAATTCTCTGTCTGCACTGCTATTTCCTTCTGAAGAAATACACAGGCGCATTGCTAGTACCTCTGATATTAAAAGTGCCATTTGCTTCTCATGTTCCAGGTGATGATTTCTGTTTAAGTAAACTTATGGTACATGAAGTGAAGGCATGTGAACCTCACAGACAGCATTACAGATGCTCCCTTTTCTCCCATCATGTGACTGTTGCCTTTGAAGATCATTTTGTCCTGAGCCTAGACAGTTAATCCAAGTCTCCCACAGAGGAAAATACGGACAAGGAGTATTTTTCAAATAGATTTGAGTAGTGCACAGGGAACTAAAATTGTTTCCTGAAAGAAATTTTCATGTGTGAAGGATGTAACTCTAACATGGTTATTTCTTTAATTTTTTTCTGTACACATACGAAGCTTCCTTTCCCAAAAAAAAGCCAAGTCATGTCCAGTTCATTATCTTATACTTGCAGACCAGGTCAGTGGTCTGCTTTGGGCAGTTGTCTTCAGAAATTCTTCAGACAGTGTCTTTATAATTTAATAATTTCATAATTTCATAATTTCATAATTTCATAATTTCATAATTTCATAATTTAATGCTAGTCACTTGATTTATTCTTTTTTTTTTCCCTCCAGACAGACAAGCTTGAGTCTTGAGAAAAGTTACGGAAATCTCAATTCTAGTTCTCAGTGGACCAAAGTCCGTATCACAGAAAAACATTACTGCAGTCAGTAAGAGTTGCCCTGTGTTTATAAGTCCAGTGAAGGGTTGAACCAGCCATAAAACCTGATGGTTCAACATGGTCCTTCAGTTCAAAGCTGAGGGGTAGTGGTGAGCCTGTGTGAGACAGTCTGTTCTCCTGCTAGAAATGCTGCCCTGAAAGTGAGGGGATTTTAAGCTTTAAGTGTGTCACATAAGACTTTTCCACAAACATTAAATTCTCACACAAATCTTTTTTTTTTTTTTTAGAGCTTTGTTGTGATGCACTGTCAATTTTGCTGAGAATATATTTTGCCTAAGTTTCATGCCAGGTTAAATCTCAAAAGAGACCAAGAGATTTACAGGTACTCTCACAGTGAATCATATCTGAGATTCTTTTTGGCTCCTATATTCATAGTATTAACAAACAATGATTTATTTCATTCACTTGCTGCTGGACTTTAGTTTGTATGTGTGATGATTATGTTTGGAAGGAATTGAACTGGAGTGATGCTAATACAATTTATCTTACTCTTTGAATTTTGTTCTTAAATGTAGGATCTTAAAGAGAGGTTTACCATTCTACAATATTCCCACCCCCCCCCATCATAATCTTGAGAGAAAATGTAAATAAAATTGACACATTCTTTACATTTTCTTGAATGGAATGCATTTATTTCAGTTTCACTTAATCTGATGATAGGTCACTGAACAGTGTTTTTTTAATTAGTAGCAAATGTCAGAAAGCCATGCAGCCTATAAGGCACCAACATGAGGAAATGAACAAGTGTGTATAGTTCCTCTTGTTTTCATTTTCAGAAGTACAGGATACTCTTGTTACTGTACAAGCAATTAGCATAGTGGAAGAGGCATTTTTAATTTAGGACTGTTTAAGTTACCCGTTTCTATATTTCTTAATTTTGTGGTAGATCTCATTCTGGTTAGATATTTAAAAAGCAGAGTTAATAAATATACCTGATATACTTCATCCTGAAAAGCACATTTTTTAGGAAATCACCATGGCCTACCTCGAGCCTCTCTGAGGACTGATAGACTTAGAGCTTTGAGCCCAGTAAGCCTCTAGTGAGCCTATGCTGTGAAGTATTCACCTGTGCTTGGTACATGGAGTTAACTTTCATGTAAAAGTGAAAAAAACAAAGTGGTTTCCTGAATTGCATGCAGAGTTTTTCACTCCATTGATGTCATAGAGATGCATCAGATTTTGAGGGTATTGCTTGATGTGATATGATTTGTATCAGCAATAAGCTATCGATCTAAATTAAACCACAAGGTTTAAACATGGAGGTTGGAATTGAAAGCAAAGTGTATGGCCTGGAAACAGCTGTCTTGGTCCAACAAATTACCATCTCAAGTATAAGGCTTGATTAATTTAAATCATGTATAAAAAGAGTTATAAAAACTCTGGCAGAAATATTGCCTCTAATTAAATTCAGGCATTCAAATGTTTAGAAAGGATCAATTAATGATTATGAAAATAAAGTAACTGTAACAGCTGTACAGACTCTTTTACAGAAGTTTCTGGCAAAAATTACAGCTGGCAAGAAGGTAGCTTGTCATCATGAGTAATTGTACAAATTTTCAAATGCCAGTAGGCCAGAGAAGAGAAACTGAGACTTTTGACTGGGATTTAATCCTTTGCAGAGCTTGAGGAGTCTAAACACTGGTGGGGGTCTGACTGACCAATGGGTTTTAAAATAGAAAATTTTCTCTCGCACCTTGTGATTAGATTTTCCCATGCTCTTTCCATGTTTTTCAGCTGTCCCAGGCTCCCCAGTACCACCCTCTCTTACTGGGCTCACCCAGCAGAGCTGTCTCTCACTGCAGCACATAATGTGCCAGCAAGCACAGAGTGGTGCAGCTGGTAGATGAGGTAGCCATTAGGCAAACAGTACAATTTTGTATCTGATAGTATCGCTTGAATCAAACATATCCTTGTGCAATCCATCCAGCAGCATTTAAAGGTCAAAACCCAATCCTTATTATTCAATATCTAGGCCTTGTGCTTTGCTTTATTCATTGTCTGTGCAGATCTGATAGACTGTTCCAGACCATCCTTGTGTAATGCTGGAAAGCGCTAACAGCCGCTGTCCAGCGAGTCTCTCTCTATTCAGGCAACTCCACACCTTAGGAAAGCTGGAGCATTTGTTGCATAGCCTTAGATCAAGCAAAATAAACCTTCTTCCCTGAAAATAGTGGAAGCTGCCATTCAGCAACTATAAAACAGCATCCAACAGCAACTGAAAACAGTATCCAGCTGCCATGTCAAGTACACTCAGGACTGACCTACATGAGCTGGGAGATTGTCATAGGGAAATTTCTGCAAATGCTGCTGGAGGCATCATTTGATTGTAATGACCACAGGTAGAAAGCACCTAGAAAACAAAAAGAAAATTACAAGATCTGCAAAGAAATTGTGAGCATGTCTCAGAGAAAGAAACAGAAGCATCCCTGGTGAGAAGGAACTGGTGAGAAGTCAGGCTTGGAAGCAAAGAGCCTGAAAGCCTACTGGTGTTATATCTTCTTTATTTGAGAAAGCAACACTTCGTGTGCTTTCTCTATAAATTAATATATGTTCTCCAAAGATGAGCTCATTCTGAGGAGTAATCTGTTCTTACCTGTAATACCTGGAATTAAAATATCTTCATGGCTAGCTATGAAGAACCCCTAGTAGCAAAATATCTAAATTATTTTTTATAATATACAAACCAATTATTAATTTTAAAATTATTTTAGTAATTTATCTAAAATTATATTTTTGCATTTTTAAATATATTGTTAAAGAACACCAGTAGTCTTAGTCGTGCCATACTCAAGCTGGCATTAGCTTTGGACTCAGGTTCTTAGGTGGAAAGTCAGCACTTGAGAGGAACAAAGGGGTCTCCCTGCTCCTGCAAGGAAGCAGGAAGCCTGACTGGAATAGATTTGAGCACTGTAATCTAAGTGAACCTCTTATAACAGAAATTGGAATCTATGACAATGTGGTCCCTAAACCATGTTCTGAACTGGTGAAGGAGGGTGCTCAACTCCAACTTTTAGTCTTTCAAAATGCTTACTTTTTCCTCAGTTATGTGACAGCCACTTCTGAACATTTTGGTAGTTAGCAGTATATGGTATTAGGTCTGCTTTTTGTTCTTTGTTTTTTCAATGCAGCCCATGGAGAGGATTTTTAAACATTTTAGTCATTAAAGCCATTTAGAGTTGAAAATATGAAAATGCTGTATACATTTTTCATTAGGAAAAAACACAAAAAACCTCTTTGGACACAACCTGTCAGAGAACTTACCTCTCACTTTTTCCAAAATGCATTTGAATGACAAACATAAGTGGCAAAACTTTGGTTGTGACTTGCATTTGTTTTTATCCCTAAAATGAATTAAACTACACTTAATGGAAAAAAAAAAAAAAAAAAAAAAAAAAAAAAGAGAGATTAACTTTTTTGAAGCATGGAGTTTTGAAATCACTCCCAAATTACTTTGTGTCCAGCTATAACTTTCCTCTTGAAGCATGTGCATAGCATGAGATTTGAAATACTGGTATATTTAGTTTATTTGTTTGTCACCTGTGCACTACATATGAATGTGTAGGACTTTGTTTTGTCTTCCTTCAGATAGCTGTATGTTTATATATATACAGCATTCCACCCACTTCCCCCACTGAACACCAGTTATTCGACTGTTACAGAAACTCAGGATTTTTTGTGTGCAAATCCCTAAACATACTCATTTCTCTTCTTTACAGCAGCATAAGAAAGAAGTGTTGAGAACTGCTCTTAACCCTTTTGGAGGTCGAAGTCAAAAGGTAAAACCAAATGCTAATGTTTGTGTTTCTGAAGGTGTTGCTCTCCTAATTGTTTGGAAATGCTATTTCCTTACCACATCTGAACTGAGATTTCCCACAGGAGAAAAGCAGGGATATGGTAAGAAGAATCAAAACGTTATTAGACCTCTTTAAGAGCCACCAGCATATCTGGGCATAAATTATACAGGTAAGTTACAACTGGTAAACTGCAATTATCTGTTTACTTAATATGACATTGGCATTGAGAGTCAATGGGAATTTCAGTAAGATTTAATATTGCTAAGGATTTAATGATTTTTGTATCACTATTATTTGATAGTTTTTATGATATATAAAGTTTTTTCAAATTACAGTAAAACAAATCCTGTAGCTCTTTTCTCAGGCAAGAATCCCTCAATGGGAGTTTTGCCTGAGTGAGAACTGAATGAGGTCTAAATAATTAGCAATTAAAATATTCAGTTATTGTTCTACTGTATATAACAAAGCACTGGAGGTATTAAAAATTGCTAATCTCCTTCTTATTAAAATGTTAACTGCTAAACATAATACAGTTTTGCATTTCTATCATTCATTTTTGCAGTTCATTAGTAGAGGTGAAATGTTTGTGACAAATAGTCATTTGAACTTTTCAGGGATTGACTTTGTTTTCCTGGCATTTTAGTTAATGTTTCCAACTGAGTTAATTTACAAGCAGAAGTTTTTGCGTAAGCCCTGGATTTTAGTAAAAAACCTGATCATGAGTAACTTCTCATATGCCATTCATGAGTATTTGCAGAAGGAAGCCAATGGTAAGCTACTCCTTGGGAGGCAGGGCTGGGCAGTTTGGGTATTCCCATTTTTATATATTTTGATTAGCAGCTTCTTGTAATGAACTCAAGTGATAGATTAAGGGTTGTCCATAGCATTTACTGGACCATTTTCAGTGAGACACTGGAATGTGAACAGTTCAGCAACAGGCTAAGGAGCAAAGTTGTGCACCCCAGGCCTGTTAGTTAGCACATGAGCTCTTTATTACCATGCTAGTTAATGTAAGGGCCAGACTGTACTCTCATTCTGCTTCACAGTGCAGAAGAATAAGTGAGATACATCTCCTGTCTCCTTCTTCACATAGCAGCAGAGGAAGTGTGGGAAGGGAGAGTCGTATTTGGTGATAGAGAACAGAGTGGTAAGTGAAGGTGGTAACTGGTAGAGGAAGAAGAATTTATGGAAGAATTTGGTGACAGGTGAATTTCATAGAGGAAGGTGGCACTCCCTGGAGTAGATTTTGCTATTTATTATGCCTAAAGGGATTTTTTTTTTCTGATCTTTCTGTAGAAACATTTAGACCTAGGCATTTAATTGTGCTATATGACTGTTGGCAATTCAGGCCATGATTCTGCAAGGATTTGCACATGTATTTCACTTACAGTATTATGAGTAATCCTGTTGAAATACATGAGATTAATTGCAGGACGTAAAGTTAGGCATGTATATTTGTCTTTGTAGTAAAAGAGGTGCAGTTTAATTTATTTATTTACTTTCAGGGTGGGAAATTATTTTAAAAAAATACATGGGATTTTCCACTAATTTTGTAGCAATAAAAGAAGAGGTGGATGGTAGCAAAATAAGTTTTCTGCTTGTTTCCCCGAATCATATTTTTGTCAAGTTCTCATCTGTAAAGTGTGGGTAAGAACAGGCTGCTATAATTTTCTTTTTTTACATGCACAGTTAAACCTCCAGCTAGAATGAGATGATCATATGATTTATTATAGAGGAGTGAATAGGACAGAAATCAAACAGGAAGGCATGTGTACTTGTGTGGACTCTTGTTTATAATTTCATCAGATTGGTGCACACTCAGACATTTTATTTAGTGATAAGATATGCAAATTATTCTGGAGCCAGGAGCAATACCTTCACCTTCTTCAAAACTAGCAGAGATTTTTAAACCAAATCTCAGTAACAACTTTTATTTTAAAGCAACTGTTCCTAAGATATAGCTACCAAGTACAGACAAGTAAGTGTAGAATTGTTTCCTACTTTCCTTCATACCATTTTCTTTCCTCTCTTGTTTACCTCCATGGAGGAGCAAGGCCACAGGCTTACCTGTAAATATGTGTATATTATGTGTATATAATATTACATATTATATATAATATGTAATATGTGTAAACTATGGGCAACAGTGCAGAGGAGCTATAAAGTTATGTGGAAGTTTGTGCAAAGCACAGGAACACAGTTTGAAAATGGTGAGACCTATGGAATGAGATGTACCATAGGAGATATCTTCTGTTTCTTCAGTTGCTTACATCACATCTTTATATCTATGAAGGGTTGGGTTGCACAAACTCTTCATTTCAACTTTTTCCTCTGTCTTTGGTTGTATTTTTCTTCCATTTTATGTCCATAAATTGGAATGTGGTAGTAGAAGTAGTGGATACAGTGGGACATTTGGATGGTAGCTTTGCCATGAGATCGAGACCTGAAATTCCTCAAAGCTGTAGATATTTAGCTGCTGGGGTTTTTGTTTTGAGTGTACATACAGTCGTGAGAGAAAGGGTGTCACTGAATATGCAGCCTGGGATTTAAATGTTAGATGTGTATATTTTTTGAATTCTTGTTCAAGTCAGTGTGCACTGACTGTAAAGTGATAATCCTGTTTATTTTCTCTAGATTCCTCCTCTTTTCTCTGTGAATGTGTGCACATAACTATGTCCAAATGCTTCCGTCTGAAGTTTTTCTAGGAGTTTCTAGGCTTGTTTTCTTCTTATTGTTTTTAGTGTGTGTACCTAACTAACCAGAAAGCTATCTGGACTGAAAGCATCCAACAAAGGGTAACTACTGAAGTTCCTGATTAGAAAGAGATGACTTGTCCATAAAGTGTAAGTCCTGTAATATGTTCTCATGGATCTGGGTACTCTTTGTGAAAAAGCCAAAGTACTCAAGGCTTACTTAAGCTTGTGTGGATTTGGGCCACTGCAGCAGAACATTTTGTTTACAACAACTAATTCTAGGACCTACTTTGGTGTTGTGGATACTTAACTCCTACCCACTCAAATGGAAGCACTTCAAAATAATTAAAGTAAATGAATTATCCAGACACAGAGCAAACCCTTTCAGAGATTTAGTGAGTTTATGGAAAGCAAGAATCTGGGGTTTTGTGGTGTTTTTTTTCTAAACCATTTATTTCAAGGCCTTCTTAAATAAGAAGCCAATGCTTTCGTTGAAACAAAAAAATAAATCTGAATTTTTGACTGTCATTACTGCCATGGCTGATGAAGTTAAGTCATTGAAATCTAGAAAGAAAAACAGATGGAATTTGTCTTAGCAAGCTGAAGTCCAGGCAGCAGTGTATTGCCTCTCTGCAAAATGCTTACTGAGGTATCACTGGAAGAAATACAGTGGCTGTTGTGGTATGCTCACTTTTAACCCACTGCTGTAAAAGACTTTGAAAGATGTGTAAGTATTTGAGGGAATTTCCCTGATAGGCTGTAGAAATTCTCCTAGTTTGGTCTTTCACCTGAATGGATGCACTTTAACCCTCTGTTGCAGTCCTGGTGCCATGGTTGCAGTTACCAGCACTTGGCCAGTTGCCACAAGAATTGATCACTTGCTGTTGTGTAGGGAATAATTGCCTAGATCTGATACCAATAAACTTGTTAATCCTACCAAAACCTGTGCATTCATATTTGATAAATATTGGTACTGGAATCTATCATATGCTTTCAACATCAAGCTTCACAGGAATTCTCTGCTTCCATGCAGAAGTCCTCCTTACTTGCAGCTCCAGGAGGCAAAATTCAGCTTCCGTCTTATGTTGACACTGTATTTGCTGGCAATAGTAGCATTCCAGAAGTAGAGGGGACCAGCATTGCAGCTTGCACTGCTGTTTCTCTGCTTGATGAATAATAGCCCACTGGGCTAGTTAACCATTACACTGACTTTTTCCTGTTCTTCATAGTTGATTTGTGCCCAGGGGACATGGGTTACCAGAGCCTGTCTGCCAATCCAAAGTTCATTATTGTGTGTTCGTGTGTGTTTATGTTTACCTGTATGCATATCTGTTCTGTGGATCATGCATATCCAGGAGATACTCTAGTAAAACTAACAATGCCACGCCACTGTGCCTGGTTCTTCTATATAAAAGGTGTAATTCAGAGGTAATGTTTTACTCTCCCTCCTTTAGTGTTTTTGTTAATGCATGTGAAAGGATTGGCCTCTTAAATCAACACATTGGTTTCCTCGTTCAGTGCTTTAGGCATGGAGTTTCAGGATGCTAAAATTCTCTTCCTTAGAGCACATTTGAATCATATGGCCTGTGATTAATGTTGATTTGCCAGGGGCCATGACCTGATACCTCCTCTGTGAAAAAGATAATGTCGCTCTTCACTGAGAATGAAAAAGTGGTGGCAAGAAGTATATGTCAGGGAAGTTTTTTGGGATTCAGAACAAGATACTTAACCAGCATGGTATTTGATCAGATATGTGCCAGGGTCAAAGCCAAGAAGAAACTTTCAGTCACTCCCATTTTCTTCTTCATCTGAACTGCAGATCGTCTGGTAGTATCTGGATGATGTGGCACAGGTGATGCTTGCCGTTTTTGCCACATGGAACGTGATTTGACTTTAAGTTCTTTGTTCTGTGCCAGTGACTCTGTTTACGTTCTTCGGAAAAAAATAAATAGCAATTTTGCTGGCCAGATGTCACATTCAGGTGTCCAGACAGGTTAAAGTACTGATCTTTAATATCTCTGGTGTTTGTTTTGGGAAAGTTAATTTTCTTCAGTGGATAGCTCAGGACAGTGACTTTTTTTGCTTCTTCTCCTGGCTGATTTATCTTCCACTGTCTTTAAAACCCAAAAGAGAATTGGCTTCCCTCTTTTTCTGTAAAACTAGAACACGCCTTGACAAGGAATTACTTGTAAAGGAGAGGGCTAAATCCTCCAGCTGGTGGATCAAGATTTTAACTTAAAATGTTACTGTGTCCTGCAAAGTTCAGGAGCTACATCTTTCACTGAATAGTATGCGGAAATAATTTCTTTCATTCCTCCCTCCCTCCCTCCCTCTCCTTATTTCTCTTCTTTTCTCTTTCTGAATTTCTCTCTCTCCCTTTCTGTGTTAGTATCTCCCTCTTTCTCTCCTTGTCCTCTCCTTGAGTAGATGGACATCTGTTTTCCTGTTGGACCTGAATCAGACATTTTGTGTAGGGACACTGTGATGCTGCTACTGAAGACCTTCCATGTGCTTTTGGTGTTCATTTAGAAAGCCTTTCAGTCAAAGCTGGTCTTAAGTTATACAATAGTTTGATGAGCAGAGTAGCATTCTTAGTAGCTCCTGCATAACTCGGTGTTCTCAGCAGTGTGGGTCATTAAAAGACCTACCCCTATTCCTCCTGTACCACAAATGATATGGCAGACAACAAAATGAGAAACTGCAAGTCAGCAGCAGTGAGAGCTGCACCACTTCTGTGGCAGCAGCACATTTTAGTGCCAAGAAGATAGACCATTTTGAATCTAAAAAACAGCTTTGAGGCCATTTTAGTCGTTCCCTTCGGTTCTTTGGAATCAAACTTGTATCATTCTTGCTGATATTAATAGGACTTGGGGGATTACACAAGTCTCTATGCCTTCCAAAGGCATATCTTTAGGATGGCAGAGAGAATTCATGAAAGTAGGCAGAGAAAAGCAGCTGAAAACTTCTATTGTTTTCTGTCAAGAAATCAATATTGAAAAAAGAGAAAAAGAAGCAAGAAATGTTGCTCCTTAATCACTTAGAGAACATTTTAATTACATACGTTTTTATAAATATGAGTTGTGGTAGTTCGATGCAGAACTTTGATCTTAAACTTTTTCCTTCCTCTGAATTAAAATATCCTTACAGTAATGTTTATAGGCACATAAAAATGTTTGGGGATATTTTTATGAGATTGGACTGCCCCAAGATCTCAGTATCTCTGTCTAAGCATTCTCTTGTAAGTTACGTTTTAACAGTTTGATTGGAATGTGGCTAAAACACAATGTTCCAATCCCACCTGCCTGGCTGGGCTATAAATATGAGATGTACTGTTTTCCATACAAACTTTAAGCTTCCTTGAAATCCCAGAGGCCACCAGACTGAATCACTCTCAGGTTGTCTCCTCCACCAAGACTGGAGACTCTTATCATTACTTCACAGGCCATCAAAAGAGAGTATATTTTTCTTTGCCAAGGCATTATATTACAGCAGAGATTCATTCATTTAGGGGTAACTGAACCTCTCTACATCTTGGGAAAAATATTTTTACCTAAGCAAACTCTTTATGTTCGAGGAACAGCTTTTCTTTGGTTATTTCGAAATTTAGTTTAAAAATCTTCATCCTCACACTATTCTTCATTGTTGTTGGTGACTGAGCAGAGAGATGTGTGGAGGCAACATTGCAATATGAAAAACCTAGTTCTTACCCAGACTGATCCAAATATGCAAGCCCACTATCCTCTCAGGCTCTTCAGAAAAGCGTGGAACTTTTTTCCCAAGCAGTGGTCTCGGGAGGAGAGCTGCACAGATTTTTGTAAATTGCCCACATCCATCTATCTTTCAGGGAGATCTCCTTCTGTAGTTTGGAGAGCTGCCTGTAGATTTTTGAGGAGACAGTTGCTAGTCTATGTACACTGAACATCCACGGTGTGCAGGTGATCCTGTCATCTCTAAATCTAGGACTGTGCTGTAGTAAAATAGATTAATGTTCAGTTACCCAAACTTTGTTTATGTCACTACTGAAAGGCAGCAGCAGGTGGGAAGTAACCTGAATATGTCCTCTCCTGGTGTTGACCAGGAGTTGTATTAAGTGCTGTTTTCATTCTCCAGTTAGAGTTTCTATAAGGTGGCCTTGAAATTATGAGATCTTTAAATTTTCCAGATCTTCAGTCATTCGGTAGTCTTTTAAGTCACTAAATTAAGCTAAATGCTGGACTTTGTATTCAAGAAGGGACATGACCTCTTCTGCTCTCTTCATGGATACAAAATCTCGTCAATTATCTGAAGAATATATGTGCCTCTAAATAATCTCCATCTCATAATGAAATCCATGTTTATCTGAATATTGATGTCTTCAATGGCAAAAAAGGAACTTTGTCACTTTGAAAACAGGTGTCTTCTCTTCTTAAGTAGGTATTAACAGTTTTACATAGTAGTTAAATTTGCATTTACATTTTCAGATACATTTTTTGGAACGTGGTGTTTAGAGGGAAAAACATCTGTTAAAACATTACACTTCACTTTAGAAACATTTTCGTTAACATCTGGTAATATGGATGTTAGGGTTAGTTTCACTTATTGTAGGGAAAATACATATAAGCCTTGAGCTTAAATTTTGAAACCTGTACGAAGTTTTGTACAGTTTATCTGGATTTAGCTTGCAGAATTACAGAGTTTAGCCTTTAAATAAAATCTTAATTTACTTCTGTTTTGATGGTCAAGTAATTGTAAAATGGGTGCTTTTTAAAAACAAAAAACATGATTTAGCAGAAGTTTTTCCTGCTTTTTTGATCAGTTTTTTAAACCAGAAATATTTTTTCTTGGAGTCTTGCCAATGGCAAAAATAAGGAAGGAATGTGTGGACTCATGCAGAGCACTCACTAGGTCAAAAAAAAAAAAAAAAAGAAAAAGAAAACCCCTAAGCTATATCTGAGGAAATGTCACATTTCTCTGATATGAATGAAATGCAGAACTCACTTCTTACTGCTTTGAAAAAATCAAATGAAGTAACCTCTCCATTTACAGAACAATTTCTCTCTGTGTTCCACTTCCATTTCTTATTGGAAATCAAACAGCTTTGTTTTTCAGCACTTCTGCAAACTTGGTCCCTTGTGGACGCACACAAAACTCCCTAAATCTATGCATCCTAGGGAATCAAAGATTTTGGAAGGTACATTTTTCATAGATAGTTATACATATGTATTAAAAATTCCCATTGCATGAATTTCTTAAGGGGATAGTATATGAAATCACAAAGGAAAATGTTATGGCAAAAAGTACTGAAGTAAACTCAAATTTAGATCTTCACATTCGGAAGACTCTGACTGAAGTAACAACATTGCACAGATGCTAAAAACAGAGCAGTTGAAGTAGAACTGGGTTTCAGTCTGAGGCTTTGCTTTTGACCTCTCGCTGGTATGGAGTTCTGAGACAACATTGGTGTCATCTTCAGCTGCCTCTAGAATCTCTTCAGTTGTGGAAGATCCCTGCTCGTGAAATACAACTAGAGGTCTTCATTTGTTTGTAAACTTCAGGGTATTAAGTCTTAACACAGCTTTTATTGAGGTAAAAGATCACAGTAATTCCTACCGGAAATAGTCAAGTGTATGATCCCTGAAAACCAGGAATAAATATTTTATTTTATTTTATTTTATTTTATTTTATTTTATTTTATTTTATTTTATTTTATTTTATTTTATTTTATTTTATTTTATTTTATTTTTTAAGGGAAGGACCTTGAGGAATGTCTGTGGGCTTTTAAGGTGTTTCAACTTCTTTTCTCCAGTGCACTGCATCCGCTAAATATGAGACAGTAGAACCTTTTCCTTACACAAAGCTGTTATTGTTTCAAGACCATTCTGCTCCCTCTGAGCATGTATTGTAATAGGTGCCTCACTGGCTTGGCTCTCCTAGAGAAGTTTTATGGATTAAAGCACCACAAGTACCCTGCACAGTGGCACTATTAACAGTATGGAATGAGGTTGGGAGAAAAATTCATACAGAAGCTACACACCTAGGTGCAGTTAGTAAACAGAGATAGTTCCCCTCATTAAGCATAATGAAACCTAATATTGACTGTAAACTCTTACTTACCTTAAACTTCTCTGCAGACATTGAGAGGAAAGGGACTAACTTAGCAGAGAGGTACACTAATTACTACTTTCTTCACATTAAAGTTACCATCAGCAAGGCCTATATTCATAAATAAAACATAGTAGGGGATGAGAGACTGAGAAATATGTAAATTAATTTGCAGAAAAAAAGACCAAATTAAAAAAAGAAAGTTGAGTGATGCTACTGGAAGCAAAATGGCACTCTAGCTAATCACCATGAAAAGTATGATAAATCATGGACGTGTATCCTTGACTTCTGACTGATAGAGCCTGCAGAGTGCAATCTCTCATGCGTAGCTGCCTCTGACTGATTTAAACCCCTTCCACTCTTGGTTTGATGGGAAAGCACAAAAGTGTGTTATTTTATTTCCTTGGGTATTGTTGCTACCTCTTTCTCCTAGAAATGACTTGCAATTATTGTAAAAATACTGTCTGATTACTTGTCTGCAGAAGAATTTTTGTTTGATGCAATTGACAAACAAAGGCTCCAAAGATGGTCTACTTATAGTTTAATAGCTGCATTTTCAAATGCAATTGATCTGGTATATTGAGACTACTATAGAAATATAATAAAATGTCAAGGGAGGGGTTGCTTTTGCTTTTTTATACTTATACTTATTCTCATGGGACAGGACTTGAGTCCCACAGACAAGATTAAAAGTCAGAATCAGTTAAATTTATGAATTTCTCTTTTGTTTCTGTAGAATTTTAAGTGAGTCACATAGTTGCTCTGTGCTTCAGCTTTTTGATGTGCTTCCTCCCAAATTTCATAGTTTTCTGTACTTAACAATTGCTGCAAGGGACTGCACACACTTAGCATTAGTCAGATGAGAGGATTGCAGGATGAGCCCATACTATGTGTTATCGTGT